TCACTCGGCGGGGTCGCAGCTGCCTCTGGAAGGCACCGAGATGTACCTTTTTGCGCAAATGGTCAAATCAAGGTTTTGTAACGCCAGCTGTGCCACAGTGAAATGGAACTAGCCTGTACTCTCCCAGCCGGGGGGGCTCTCTTCCGTGGTCTCGAGAATCGACGCCCGCGCCTCGCCGCCCACGCTCGCGCGCCGTCGGACCCTACCCCCCGTCCGTGGCACACATCGTACTCGTGAAAAGCGAAGTCTGAATCCTTTCGTAATCCTCAGATTTTTTAGATTAGGACGCTGAGCGCTGTGGGCCCTCTAACATGAGAGACGACGACGGACGAGAGATGCGCGATGCGTGACTCTCTTTATACTCTTTCGTCTCTGATTGGCTCTCTCAATATCGTCTATCCGCTCAGTCAGAATACAGAAAAAAACACACCGACGACAAATGGACAAAACGTCTACAGAGCGACAAGCAACGTTTACACAGCGACGCCCCCTGCCGGGTGGCCGCCCTGCTGATAGTTCCTGCTTTCTGCGATCAAAGGGTCGGCTGGCGGCCGAAGGCTCCGAGAGCCTTTCGGCGAGTTGCCGCCTTCGCTTCGCGTCGAGACCATCGGCGCCCGCTCACCCTCGTCGCTGGAGGCGTCCGCCTCGGCCGTGGCTTTCTGCTGCCACGGTGGCCGTGCGCCGGGGCTCCCAAACGCGTAGATGACGGTGGCCGCCGCCACCAGCGCACCGCCCCCCACAAACTGCAGGCCGGGTCGAAAGTCGAAGAGCACGACGGAGAGGAGGGTGCCCAGGATGACACTGCACGCGGTCGAGAAGTTCTTGAGGATGTTGTCGCCGTACTTGATCACCGCCGCCACGACGAGGCCGCCCGCCGCGTTGAGGAGGACGAGGGCGAGCAGAGGCGCGTCGAAGCCTAAAGAGAAGGCCGAGAATGAAGAACAAGACAGCCGCGATTCCCGAGCCACAGCGCGTCGAAACCGGCGAAGAGGCCGTGGGAGCGGATCGAGGAGTGGCGGGGCCGCCACTGCGCCACGACGGCGAGGGCGGCGAGCGGGATCGACGCCACCGAGAGCTGCAGGTTCCGCGCCCAGAGCGACACCGCTCGCCCCTCTTCCTCTTTCTTGAGCACGGCCTCAAAATAGACGCCCGCAGAGGAGGAGAGCGCCGCCGACACGAGCGCCGCCGCGGCGCCAACGTTGTAGCAGCTGCTGCGACCGAGGTCGAGCGAGGCAGGAGCGTGTCGCCCGCGCCTGTGCGGGAGTGGCGGCTTTGGAGGCGGCGGCGGCGGCGTGTCAGAGGTGGAGAGCTCGACGATGATGACTCCGGCGGTGAGGACGAGGAGGGCGAACCAGCGCTGGGCAGAGAGGCGCTGGCCGAGGAAGAAGACGGCGAGGAGGGCGGTGAGCAGCAGCTTGACCTGGTAGAGCACCTGGAAGGTCACCATTTCGAGGCAGCCGAGCGCGACGTAGACGAGGTTGTTCTGGACCGTGTACAGCAGCGCCGGCACCGACACTCTCAGGAGCTCTGTTCGGCGGCCTAAGACGCTGGTGACCATCTCGCCCGGCGAAGAGCGTGTGCCAAGCCCACCGCACGCCGTAAGCTCGAGCGCCACCGACAGGAGCGCCTTGAGGAGCTCGGTGACGAGCACGGCGACCGACGAGGCCGGCCGTGGTGCGTCAACACGCTGCGACACGTACCGCGTGAGCGTCACGGTGGTGCAGTGCTCGACGAGGAGGATCGCGAGGCTGGCGAGTGCCACCGGGCGAATTTCGCGCATGCCTGAAACAGCAGTCGTGCTAGGGTGGCACAGGGTGGGGCACGCTCGCGCGCAGCGATGTCTGGTGCCGAAAGATTGAAGAATCTTACCGGCAGAACAAAACTGATTGCGAAGAAAAGACTCTTTGGCGGTCTCGAGATACACGGAGCGGCCAAGTGGAAAGAGAATTTTGCCTCCCTCGCACGACACTGGGCACGTCGGGTTGTCGCCCTATCTCTCCAGGAGATGTTTGTCACGGGACTGGCGCGCACTGGCACTAACACAAAAAGACAGGGAAGATAGAGAGCGGTCCGCTGTACTACAAGGAAGCGCTGACTCGATTCTACCTCGAGTTCTTCTACCCCCACGACTCGGAACGCGAATGTGACAGGACCATCGGGTCCTTCGGCCACCAAAGTGAGATCACCCGAGAGCAGCTGAGCCTGCCTGGTCCCTGGAGCCTGCCTCTGGCCTCGCCTCCCTCTCCTTCAGGCATTCGTGGCATCCTATGGGTCGTCCAGAGTATCGACCTCTGGCGAGTCAGCCAGCCCCACTTTGAGGGCGCCATGAAGTACAGCGATCGCCACCTCGCTGGCCTCTCCGCAGGGCCCCCCGACCGCGTCGAACTCATCGGCGCGGGCTCTCTCGGCTACGGGACCGGCCCCAGCTTCGGCTGAGGGCTGACAAGCTGCCGAGCCCAAATCACTGTGAGAGTCGTGATTTCTTGTTGGTTTTCTAAAATCTCTCTCTCTCAAAACACAGGTAGAAAGAGAATTCTATTATAGCCCCCCGCTACCCGGTTGCACTCGTGCGACGTAGCGAGACGCCCGGGGGTGGGCTGTTAGACCTAAAGGTCGGCG